GCATACATTGCATTATTTAATTGATTGGTCATCAATTGAATAATTAGTTGTTTGTCGTAGTATTGGGAGGCTCACAATAAGTTTAGAACGTGACAAAATTAACATATGTAGATAGAATTAAGAATAATTTTTATCACATATGCAATCACATAGATAATCTGCAATTAGTGCATTTTGATCAAATGAATTAGGACCAAAAATATGATCGGGTTGTGATTAGTATAGACTTAATTTGTCTTGAAAAGGATAATTAAATACACTTGCTTTATCGATTGCCGTGAATGCATGAAATTGACTAAATTACAAATCAAGAATTAAAATAAATGGCAATAGGGAAATTCGAAATCCAATACAATCATTCACATATTTGACAAAACATTTTTTATTGCTCTAGAATTAGTATAAATAATAACAAAATCACATCTTCTGTGTCACGAACATCGAATTTAATAGTACTATTATAGTTGAAAGATTAAATTCAACAATTACAAAATATCTCTATCAAAGCCATCTATCCATCCATGACAATTTATCACAACCATCACAATGTATCAAAAAATCACAAATTCAAGATTAAGTTCAACGAAAACAAGTCCCAATGATGTGTCAACTAGTGTAGAGCATTTTTGCAAGTAAGGCGGTTGGCTCCCCTGGCGAAACCTACTACATTTACAAGTATTTTCCTTCCCCGGTTGATGGAATTCGACATTTTTTTAGATGTCAACTTTGTCGTCCACTGCAATTGCTTTTCGAACTTCATCATACAACTCTACATATGAAATATTTTTTAATACAAAAATATTTATTACGATGTATTGATCATTTTCTATCCATTTTCAAATCCAGTCACCTTAGTCACTCTTTTCAAATTCTATGAAATAACAAACGACAATCATTGCAACAAAATCCATAGCAGTTCAACAAAAATATGTAATAATTTAGTCCATTAATTGTCAAAAGTGAAGATTGTAAAATATAGCTTCAATAACAAACAGCAGACAACCCATAATATTATATAACAAGTTTTAAGCAGGCATAATAAAACGTGTATGTGCCATTTAAATTTGTTTGAAACAGTATTATATTGTAAAAGAATGGAGGAATGACTAACTTGTATACAAAGTACATCAAGAACACTATTAATAATGGGTTAATCCATTTGTAAATAAAGGTTTGTACATAATGGATTACCCCCTCTCACATAATGTGCGGGGGTCCGCGTGAATTTAAAAATTCCAACAATGTGGTTCTCATCCCTATTGTGAGTAGTAAGTAAAAGATTCGGAAAAAAATTCGGTACATGTAGCGTGATCCATTAATAATTTAAAATGATACTACAGAAAAAGGCATCCAACTATAAAAAAAAGGGCACCCAAATACACAAAATGGCACCATTCCCTTTTTATTTTTCACTGCTAATTTTGCTTACCCGATTGATTTTTCATTGTCTAGAGGTAGAATACAACTAGAAAAGAACAACAAATCGGTAAATTTTCAAATTATAAATCATACATTTAATTATTGGAGATTGATTCTTGCTGACCCACTTCCAAAATTTGCTCCCTTTAATTTGTTTTTGGTTCAACTAAAGTAACTTCGATATAACTAATTGCAATGCATATGAAGAAAAAGGAAGTGGGATTTGAATGTAGATTTAATATAAGAAAATGGGTTTGGAAATGTGAGAATGAAGTGAAGTTTAGGAGAATTTATGTTTGTGGGGTTTGGTAAATTTTGGTTTGAAATTGGACGTTTTAAACATTTTAAATGAAGGGTATAAAGATTTTTAACACGTGATAAAATAGACCAAAAGTTATTTTACCAAACATTATTGATTGTAGGTTATTTTACCAAACATTATTATTGACTAGACGTTTTAAACAAACTCCCAAAGAAGTTATGTTTGAGGATACTTCTTAATTGAATGAAATTTGAATAGATGTAATGTGGATTTATGTAGATACAATTATTGGACTACTCTCATTCTTTGATTGATTTGCTGAACAATTGACCCTACTTGTTTAGATGGGTGTCCACCCCAAAGTGTTCTCAAATTGCATGCATACTTTCGTAAGTAACTTAGTGTCCATTCAAAGAAATTTATGCAAATGACTCTCTTTAATAAATGATGTCTGTAAATGGGTTATGGATACTGATTTACGAACATCCGATGCGTAAGAACGTAACCTTGAGATGGGTAGCTGGAAACTATTGTTAATACTATGTAGCAAGGTCTAATTGAAAATGAAGCGAATTATTAATTGTCCTAAAGACCCTTTTAAGTGTTGAGAATTATGAGCTTTAATTCTATTCCACCGAGAGTAATCAATTCAAAGAGAGAAAAAAAACACTCAAGAACACGTAAAATTTATAGAGATTCACCTCAATGTGATACTACTTCCTCTCCCGCCGTTGCAATAATTTACTATGACAATAAAAATGTTCACAAGAGAAAATCTCTCTCTCTCTCTCTCTCTCTCTCTCTCTCTCACTTAATGATAATAATAAAGTATAAGAACGGCTCTCTATTTATAAGATAAATTAGAGCAAAATCAAATTTTACAAGAACTCTAATTCTTTAATAGAATTTTACAAAAACACAAATTCTTAAACAGTTCCTAATTATAATATTAATTAGAATCGACAATAATTAGACTCCACAACTTAACAATAAGCCCTCGTCCCAATTGCAGATTCATTTATTAATTCAAGAAATTGCAGAATTTTTAATGAGGAATTTTATTTACTCTATTTTAATTGTACTTAAAGTTCTCAACCTTGTTCATTATAACACTTATGGCATTAACTATTTTCATTATTTTCAACATTTAATTAATTAGCACATATCTTCGTTGGAGATTATTTATGTCACAATATTCTATTTGTGTGATTTGAAATGATAAAAGAATTGTACCTTTTCATTTGTTTATTTTTTTAATATGATGTGCAATTAAATCGTTCTACAAACTCGTGACGGACTTTTTGGATGAAAATCTTTATCAGATATAAGATGTATTTGTTAATGAGATATTGGGAATACGACGCGTTGAATCAAAGTCAGGGATACAAGTATTTCAATGTGAAATGATTTAGAATTTCAAATCTAATTAAAATGTGGCATAACTATAGAGATAACAAAAAAACTCAACAAACCCGATACCCGTGGATCCCGCTCTGAACGGGGTAAAGATAACCCGCTTAATCTAGTATTCGGGGCAAGGCGGGAAATTTTACCCCGGGACGGAAACGGGCCCCGTCCCGTTAAAATTTTTATTTGTTTTTTTTTTATTTTTAGAATTCAATACTTTAGATGAAAAATCTCACAAAACTTCATTAATTCTAATAGAAAATAACAATTAAAATTATTTGTCTAAATATAATGAATATGGGCAATATATATAAAAAAAAAAAAAAAAATTAAACATATAGTAAAAGGGGCAAAGACCCCTCCCCGAACCCACCCCGCCTTAAAAGGGTAAAGGACAAGGACGGGGAAGGAAATTTATTAGCGGGTCCCATCCCATCCCGTTGCCATCCTTACATAACTAGTAAAAACTGTAGAACAAATATAATAATCCTTCATATCTGAAACTGTCTTTTGATGCCCTCATCAACGGTATATAATGAGATAATCAAATAAAATAAGAATTTATAAATTCTAATTACATATTAATTTGCTTCATCAAGAATGCTACAAGCCTACAAATATAGATACACGGTGAAGGATAACTACGTTATAGTGCGAGTGATGCAGAGAGTCAGGGGAAGACGGTGTGGGGCAGGTCTCTATCTACATATTAATTTGCTTGATCAAGAATTTTTTTAACGTAGTTATCCTTCACCCTATCTAATTACAAATTTACAGGGGAATTTTTTATTTTTATTTTTATTTTTTCAATGTATCAATCCACCCTGACTCTGCCCCTGCAAAGAGTTGACTCAATGGTCAAGATAAAGAACGAGAAATAAATAATTTTAATCTATTAAAAAGTCAAACTCACATTTTGATTTTATAAGAACGTGATTAGTACGCAAGGCTCAATTAATACAATGATTGTAATTCTACCTGTCACTGTTCCTAACAATATGCCTATCTGTCTCAAAATGTGTATTTTACAGTATAATTAACAAGAGACCTTCACTAAAGAGCCTTGAAGCCATTACTAAGCCTACAGCGAGAGCCGAGCCAAGATAGAAGCCAAAGCCAATGCTCGAGTAATTGACATAATACCACATAACATTCTATCAATGAATTATTTAAAACAAAGTCATCTTTTCCATCAAAACACCTCCCGCCACCTAAAATTATGGCACTACTTCTGACATTATTCCTCTGACAGTGGTTTAACAAATTGTTTCTAGGATGACCTTCACATCAATTAATAATAAAACTAACAATAAACATATAAAGACTGATTATTCCTCTTAATTAACTTAACCATTTCATACGATTTTCAATTCTCTTGTGCCAGTGTCAGATTATTGTCAACTCTACATAGAATGTAATGCATATCAGAAAGAGATCTACTGCTTCTCTCATGTAGATGTCGAGCTCCTTTCTCAAAATGTAGAATTGGTGCTAACAATTTATCCATTTTTTTCCTGAATAATGCGAAATCTCTTAACAGGATTATCAGTACAAAGGATGTGAACGCTCAGCCTCATATTTACACCCAAAAAAATAATAATAATATAAAAATAAGAGAGAGTGTGCTAACAGTACAATATTACTGTGAGAACACAAAGCTTCCCATGCAGATGAATCAGGTCCTCATTTCATCTAGGATCTACAGTTTCCAGCAACCCTTCTGACAACCACCACCAGCCAAAATAATTTATCGTGGTGAAAATCCTACCAACTTGCATGCTTGAGCTTCTTATGAAGACGATTCTAGTTTTTAACAAAGGATAGAGGTGAAGCTTAACAGAAGGTTCTATGCATGTCAATTAGGTTTAATCATATTATTTATCCTTAGGCAGTCTTATTAGGTAGAAGAGATCTACATGAAATTGTTAACCCTCTTTGCTGAGATCAGAGTATTTGAAAGAAGCATGGCTATTGTCATGGGCCCCACTCCTCCGGGAACAGGGGTGATGGCTGAAGCAATCTTGCTTGCCTCCGCATAACAAACATCTCCAACTAGTCGATAGCCTCGAGGGCTTTTAGCATCCTGTCAAATTTTTAATGTACAATATAAGTTACATTCACCTACAGTGGAAGAGCGTAAGCAAAATAATGTGTTCCAGGGGCAGGGATTGAGGCGAACAGTGATTAATACACATTAAAATGGGGTTCGGTAGTAAAAGGTATCAGACCTCGACAGGATTAATACCAACATCAATAACTACAGAGCCGGGCTTAATCCAGCTACCCTTCACCATGTTTGGCTGGCCCACTGCTGAAATAATTATATCTGCTTCTCTCGTGATCGTCTCGGGATTCTTTGTTCTTGAATGGACAATACTGACTGTAGCATCTTCCCTCTACCAGTACATGCAAAATGTTGAAATGGAACTATGTCAAATTGTAGCAAGTACTAGAGTCCCGATGTTTAAGCCTATAAAATTCGATATTTAAAAAAATGGCAATGCGCATATTACTTGCAACAGCAGGGCAGCAGGCATTCCAACAATATTACTCCTTCCAATAACGACAGCCCTCTTTCCCTTGATATCAACACCGTATCTGTGCAACAACTCTATGCATCCTTTTGGTGTACATGGAACAAATAATGGTTCTCTATCTCTCATGGCCAGACGACCAATATTCAGTGGGTGGAATCCATCAACATCTTTTTCAATACAAACAGCATTCAAGACATTCTGTTCATTCATATGCTGGTCCAACATAAAAACAATCAGCATACTGGTGAGGAAACAAAAGAAAACCTAAACTAGTGAATCTGCCATGCATAAAAAAATGCTCCACTCCCATTATTTTTACGGCATGTGAATTTACACTTGTACTCCATTTGGAACCCAAGTAGTCAGTTAATAGGTTTCTTTTCTCGTGAAAATCAACCCGAATAAATTCGGCAAACAAATTCCAATGCATAGTTTTGCCTGTTGGAATACAAAGAAACTTGATACTAGAGATGGTTTGAAAAGTCAATTTGATTACCAAAATTTTAGAAAGAGACAAAATGACACAGAGATAGGATGCGCAAGAAGGACAATATTCTATTGCTTATAGCCCCGCATCAAATCAAAGCAAGTGACCAAAATATTGAAACATATTGCACGATAGAAGACAGTTTTTGCTTAGCTTGTGACATATATAAAGGCTCATATTTTGAATGCTCAAGTAAAAACATTTGTTATAATAGGACAAAAGTCAAGCATTAAGGCAGATTAATAAGAGAAAACTGGAGCTGATTGAATATATACTAAAAAGAGACGTCATATATTTCTTACTAGATGGATCTTTCATTGATCTATTGGTCACATTTTCCCACTACAGAAATTTGAGAAATGAAAGATGATACTCGCGCTTACAGGAGGTAGAGGTAACTGGACGAGGATGCCATGTACGGACGGATCATCATTGAAGCGTGAGATATGCTCAAGCACATGTTGTTCAGAGGAATCTTCAGACAAACGCACTTCATATGAATTGATCCCAACAGATTCACATGATTTCTTCTTGTTGCGAACATAAGTTGCAGAATCCTTCCTATCCCCAACAAGAATGACTGCCAATCCAGGAACAACACCTATAGAGTCCTTCATCCTTGATATTTCAAAATCTATTTCATCTCTAATTTCTTTGGCAACTGATTTTCCATCAATAACCTTTGCAGAAGCCTCAGTGGTCATTGCAGCTGCAGAATATTCCAGAAGAGTATAAGAAAAGAAAACCCTAACACCAATTTGACTTGTTTCGGGTCATGAATTGTTTAAACCTTAAACAGACAAAAAGGTATCATATGAAATATGTATCAAGTATTCAAAATTCTATTCGAACGAAATACATCTAAAATTAAGATCCATTACTTATACTCCAAATACACATACAAACTGTTGCAAGCTAGACTTAGCAGTCAGGGTTGGAACTCCGCAAACGAAAACTTCAAGATTATATACTGTCTAATGTCAGTTCTTTCCACAATTTAATTCAAACAACCAGAATCTCCATTATGGAGCAGCAATAAAAACCAGTGCAATCAATCTACTCAATAAAATCTCTGTGTACACAAGTTCTTTGTGTGTATTAGAAAATACTTGTTTGATAATCAAACTTGTGCTTATCCGATGGTACACCTATGATAATCAGATTTTTACTATTACAGTGAGGGTAGAGTCTTTATTAGCCCCTGTGTGGGATACATTATTTTTTTCATTCACATTCTTCTACTCATTTTCAATCACATATTCTTCAATAAAATAATATTTTCCATCATATCAATAACTTTTTCTTCTTTTTCAACCACATATTTTCCATCACATCACTTCACAAAAATACATTCCCTCATTTTAATGTGCACCAAACGGGTTCTTAGCATTATGCAACCCTACACATCATCACATTACTCTCCTGCAGGCTTGACTTCATTTACCTACAGCTCATAACAATCAAAAAACAATCACCACAGGTAGAAGTAGTTTCTATTAATTTTTTCATCAAACAGAGAAGAGAACCTTTTCAACTACTACATAACCAACGAATCAACATCCACGATAACCTCACTCCATTTATACACACATTTTACATGTTAACGCATAGACACAAATATGAATTACTCTTGCATTGCACAAAGTTCACTTCATCAAATATAAGTAACATTTCAATTATTAAAGTTCTTAAACCTAATGGCACTAGAAAATTTGGTAATGGGTGTGTTTTACCAGCCAGAAGAGAGGATGAAGAACGTGGAGTGATGGCGATGCCAGTGGTGCTTAGAGTCCTGAAAAGGGCGGAAATGTTCTGAACAGGGCCCACATGTTGTAAGGCTCTGTGGGCCTTACGAGAGCAGTAATCAGTAGTTGAGGTGAATGTCGTAACTCTGGTGGCGGAGGAGAAGGAGGCCATTATTCGGCGGAGGGTTTGGACTCTCTGTCTCAACCCTATGCTTGCTCTTCTTTGATTAAATAAAGAGGAAAATGATGAAAATCAGCTAGGGTTTTCAGATTGCAAATAAATTACAATTTGTTGAAATGAATTGGTACAGTTTATAGGTTTTATAGAAGTTCAGTGATTTGATAGCAACAAATTATAGTTAAGTGACCTAATTGAGATTTCTATAAAAGTCCAGTGCCAAAAATGAAATGAAATTATAATTTTAATTAAATGAAATGATAAGAAATTATATTTTAATATTATCATTTCCTTCGTTTAGCCCTAGCTGCACATTTGACGCTCAAACTATCTGCATCTTTGTTTGAATCAATAATTAAGGTCTGCTTGTATTAAAATTATAATACATTTTTCTTTTCTTTTTTAATTAAACATTCTTAATAAAATAATATTACACGTAAATCGAAAATTTTCCCTTCTTTTTCAATCAACAATTCTTCAAAAAATACTATTCTAATATATTATAATATCAAATAATGGAAGCTAAACGAGGCTAAATTCTCAATAATTATTTATTCAAATGAACTACAATTTGAGCTTATTTAAAGTCAATTATATAAATTATTTTACATAGCTCCATTGTCATCGTCTTGCGTGATTCCATTTAGTGCCTATTTGAACTCTTTAATTTATTTTATGATTTGTCACAAAATCATTTTCAATCACACATTTACATAATATATATTCAACAAGCATACCAAAAAAAAAAAAAAATCCTACTTTTTAACCATACAGTGTCCTAAAAATCGATATTTAAAACTATTTTTTTTTTTAACCAAAATGGTTACAAAACGGGCTCCATTGCTACACTTTTTTTTTAACAATATAATATCTTATTGATCTTGATAATGTCCATGTTATAAGCGACTATCTTTTTAAGTGACGTTTATTTAATTAATTTATTTATTGTTATTGAAAACATATTTTTTAGGCCGTGAGAATAAGCCTCAATTTGGTAGAAATTAAAATCAAATTTTTAGTAAATTTTACTAAAAAGTGATGAAATGTGTGGTTGAAAAATTGTGGATCTCATTAAATGTGTTATTAAAATAAATTGTGGACTTTGGCTTAAAATTTTAATTGAATTTTAATCCAATTAAACAACAATTTGGCGACCACATCTTACTTGATTTTTCATGTAATTGCTAAAAAGCACTCTAAAAATGAATATAGTAAAATGAAAGTTATGGGAATATCTTTAAAATAAAAGATGTGCATTTTTTTTTTTCCTTTTATGATGTAGCGTAGTGATAAATTGAAATGTCAAATAGTAATTATGTATAAGATTCGTTGTTGTATCGATGCCAACAAAGTAGTTTCATTAATTTCGAATACGACAAGGGAGTGGATTAAATTTAAAACTAAATTTGAAGTCAATAATCAAATTGAAACTAAATTGAAAGTCAATAATCTACTAAGCGCCTGTTTGACAACCATTTTGGTAGAAAAAAATGTTTTAAATAGTGATTTTTAAGAAAACGTGTAGTTAAAAATTAGAGAAAAGTTTTTTTATACGTGAAAAATATTTTATTGTGTGAATGTGTAATTGAAAATGACCGTATAACAAATCATAAAATAAATTAAAGAGTGTTAACCAGGTTCTAAAATAAATAAAAATTTGGTGACCTAATTAAAATGTCGCTTAAAAGTTCGCCTAAAGGTGTTAACTCATTGCGCTCAGGCTAATTGTTACCTATAAATGGCCATACTCAATTCATGCCAAAAATGATTCAAATCATTTCACACACCCACAAACGACTCAACTCATTAGTCATTTCACACCTCTAAGTATACTTGAAACAACTGTGCAGTTCCGCACTGTTTTAATTTGTAAGGTTGAAATTTAGTTAACGAAGAACATGTCTTAGGCAATGTAAAAAAGAACGCTAGGGGCATATCCTTTACCATGATATTCTCTATACGCACATGAAAATTAATCCAACATAATCCATTTGACAGATACAACAAATGAGTTGGAAAAAACCCATAGTTCCAAAAATAGATTCAAGACTTTATCAATAGTGAAAAGAAGCAAATATATTACCTAGAAAATCTTGCAACATGGAGCGCAATAAACCAGTCGTGCTCTACCACAAAAGTTGCAAAAAGAATCATCAATTAGCAAGAAATTCCATAAAAAGACAATCCACTAGAGATTACTCCTTTGATAAAATAATCAAAGATCTTGATGGTTATTGTTTTAGTTTAGACTTGGTCCAACCCCCCCTTCCCCTCCTCCACCCAACAACAATGAATAACAACCTAAGCTTTGTTCTCAACTAATTCATGGTCGACTACATAAATCCTTGTTGTTGGGTTTAATAGCTTTGGTGTTAGATTTAAAGCAACTAAATTCTTGACAGCTAATACGCACAACTTTCATATCATTCCTATTTGACAAAATTTCACGCTCACTGTTAATCTACTGCAACCCTACTAATTTATCCCGGCTTGAGAATTGAGACTAGCTAAGAAAAGCATATATGCACCGCACCCCCACCCCCACCCCTACCCCCACCCCAACCGCGAACCCCTAAGCCACCACCTAATACAAACAATTACACACAATCATAGTACACCACCACCTATAAAGTAGAGCTCCCAAAGCATGAAAACAAAGACCAAAAAGCATGGAGGAAAATGGAATGAAAGCGAGAAGTTTTTGCTGTGAAGACTACAACACCAGAAGGATTTCTTAAAGGAGCTACCCACTTTACTGGGTATTTGAATCTGATGTTGAAGAAAGCAAATAAGCAAGTCGGGAATACAAAGAGGAGGCTGTAATTGTCAAAACTGGAAAGAAACCAGTCAAGAAGATAATTCTTACAGCTATCCAATGGGGAGAAGAAAGGGTTATAGTTGTAGGAGAAAAGAAGAAGAAGAAACTAGGAGGAACCGTATTTCTTTGATTGGGCAAAGTGAGGATAATGATATAGGTTACAAACCATACCTCTTGCATAGTGTTCTATCCAATCAACTAGTACAAGGATAAATTATAAACTAATGCACCTTGACTTAAAATGAAATGATGAACTACCAACTACCACTCATCCTATTGTTGAAGGAATGATAGTCATAATGAGATCAAGAAACTATAAAAGTTTCATTATCCTTCAATCTCCTCCTTGAAGCTTTTATCTTGGACTCCAATTTGATGAATCGGCTCCACAAAACGATTCTTGGCAAGTGGCTTAGTGAACAAATCTGCTAGTTGATCCTGTGAAGAACAATATTGCAAGTGAACCTCTCCTTCTTTCTCAGCATGTCTAATTGCATGGAACTTGACCTTGATATGCTTTGTTCTTCCATGGTTAACCGAATTCTTGGCCAAAGCAAAGCTGATTGATTGTCCACTAGAATTGTAGTAGAATTTAATTGAAATTGATGCAAATCACTCAGAATTTTCCTCAACCAAATCGTCTGATTTGTTGCTGATGCTGGTGCTACATGCTCTGCCTCTGTTGTAGATTGGCCCACAATATCTTGGTTCTTTGAGTTCCAGCTAAATGCACCAGATCCTAGAATAAACAGATAACCAGAAGTGATTTTCATGTCATCAATTGAACCGGCCCAATCACTGTCTGAATATCCTATCAAATCTGAATAAACTCCTCCTTCAAAATAAATTCCGTACTTCAGTTTTCCTCTAATGTATCTGAAGACTCTATTGGCAGTTGATAAATGAGCTTGTGATGGATTTGTCATGAATCTGGATAGCAGACTTGCAGTATACATGAGATCAGGTCCTGTTGATGTTAAGTACAACAAGCTTCCCACCAGACTTCTATAGTTCTTTTCATTTGATGGCTGATCACCATCCTCCTTTGATAACTTAGTATTCACTGCTATAGGTGTGTCAACCGGCTTGCAATCCATCATTTTAAACCTCTTCAATATATCAGTTGCACACTTGTTTTGTGAGACAAATATTCCATCAGATTTCTGGTCAATTTCAATTCCTAGAAAATACTTCATTTCACCCAAGTTTGTCATCTCAAACTCCTTCTCAAGTTCAGTTGTGAATCAATGAATTTTCTCCATATTGTTTCCAGTAATCAGTAAGTCATCCACATATAAAGAGATGATCAACATATTTGAATGAGGATCTGATTTCACATAAAGTATATGCTCACTTTCACTTCTTTGAAATCAATTTTCAAACAAGTAGCTATCAATTCTATTGTACTAAGTTCTTAGGGCTTGTTTCAATCCATACAAAGCATTCCTTAACTTGCATGCATGACCAGGAACTGCCCTTAAAATGAAGCCATATGATTGTTCCACAAAGACATCTTCTTCCAATTCGCCTTTGAGGAATGCTATTTTGATATCTAGCTGATATATTATCCAATTTTTCTGTGTTGCCAATGCAATTAGCAACTTGATTGTGTCATGTCTTGCAACTGGAGGAAAGATTTCAAAGTAGTCTACTCCACACTCTTGAGTAAAACCTTAGCTACCAACCTGGCCTTGTACTTGCAGATAGAGCCATCAAGATTTACTTTGGCTTTGTAAATCCACTTTACTCCAATTACCTTCTTGTCAGTTGGTCTTGGCACCAGCATCCACGTCTCATTTTTCTGAATCATTCTCAACTCTTCTTCCATGGCTTTAATCCATTCATGATGCTTAGTAGCCTCTTCATAGTTGTTTGGCTCAACAATAGCCATATTGCATCTTTCATATACTTCATTCAGTGGTCTAGTTCCTCTAGGAGGTGGACCAGAACTAGTTGTCGACTCAGTTGGACCATCATTTGAAGCACCAGAATCTATTGGTTATAGCTGAACCTTTGGTTGAATCACAGGAACATTCTGCTGCTCCACAATAGAGAAACTAATGGTTAGTGTGGTTGTGATTCAGTTTCATCCTAATTCCACTTGACATTTTCATCAACTTTAATATCTCTCGACACTATAATCTTTTCAGTTTCCAGATTATATATTCTATAACCT